TGATTGCATGACAGACTCCAAAGAACAGCAGCCGACTAGGAGCGGGGCAGTCATTGGTCAGCTCGATGTTCTGCTAAATATTTCTCAGTGTTGATTTCATCCATTATGAACAGATGTCTCCATAAACAGGTCATTTTCTCTTTCTACCATGGATGACCTTCATTGTCTGCAGATAATTTTTAGTGTATCTATGCCCTTGGTCAAGGAGTGTGAAAGCAGAGATACCAAGAGGCCCTGAGACATCTGAACCCCATGGAAATCCCTAGTATTTCTCTTCTCTTTCTCTCTGTCTCTCTCTCTCCTTATGTACTGCTCATTCGATCTTTTCATGGCTTCATATCTATGCACAATTTCCTCCAAATCATCTTCGCCCATCCACTCTCAGGTCATCTTTCATAGCTTAGGGGTAAGTCCACCTTTCCCTGAGTCCAGTTGGCAATCCTTAGCCGCCTTGATCATACTGACTTTCCCTAAATATAACTCACAATTCAGCATCAAAGTTACAACACCTTTTCGTAAGACTTTTCTAAGCCGGGTACAAGTAAGAACCCTCTATGCCCTTCTAGACAGAGGCTTTGCTCTCTAGAATCTTCTCTTTTACAAAGATCAGTGGGACTAAATGAATGGATACTTGGCCAATAGGACAGGAAGAGGGGCATGAAGGGCAGAAAGGAGAGGAGGCTGAGGGCGCTCACCTGGTTGCAGACGGGCTTGTACTTGAGCCCGGGCTTGTTGAGGATCATTTCCAGCAGCCTGCGGTTGAAGTTGGACACCCCAATGGACTTGGCCAACCCTGCATCCTTACACTTCTCCATGGCCTGGGAAAAAGGAATTGTGAAGTGTCATTTGTGTAGTCGACTAAGATAAATGTAACACAGAACTGTGAAAGCAACAACTGTGTAGATATGACAATCAACTAGCTAGCCGTGATTCTTAAAAGGGAGAAAATAAATCAGAAAATTGGGGAAGAAGATAGTGATTGCAAGAGTAAGAATTTCTGTTTCCTCCTTAGGAAACTGGAGAGATTAGTGCACAGGCAAGGAAAGAAATCCCAGTCCTCCTTACCCCCAACCCTTCTCCTCCACTTCTCTCTTTTGTATGCCTGTCATTTCTTTTTCCTTACTGCTCACAAAAAATACCTTTGTAAAGCTCCTAAGTTTTTGATCCAGTGGGTGCATTTTCCATTCTTGTACTTGGAAGATAGGAACCAGATGTCTCCTATCTCATCTTTCTTATCTGTGCTCTCCTCCAAGCACTCACCTCCCACGTAGCACAGAGATCCACTGTGTCAAATAGTACTTTCCCATTTTCATCTTTGGGGATCATCTCCTCACCTGGCTGAAGTAGAAGCAGTCAATTTAGTGATGTCACAAATCAATTTCCCCACATAAATTTCCCCACACATAGCCATGCTCTGAGGTACATTTAAGGACACTAATCCTCCCTGAGGTAGGTGATGCAATGCTCCAAAGAGTGATATGTACAAACTGTACTGCATATGATATATAAGGAATGTCTTCAGGAGACAATCTTCCTCCAATCTCTTATAACTATTATATGTATATATAAATACCAACTTTCTGGATCCTAATGGAGTGTCATCATTGACTTACATTACTTTCTTCTGCTCCTATAATTTTCTCTGTGGCAATACCTCTCATCAACTGCAAAAGACCTTGATATCCAGGAATAATGGATTGTATTTTTGACCCAGATGCCACTATCAGAGTTCCTTATCTCCTTGAACGTATGATGTTCCATGGACAGGACCATGAACCAATCATGGTCCATGGAGGTGTTTTCAAGGATAGTTTGGAAGTTGGGAGATGCACAAGAGCTCACAGTAATGACCATGAGCCTGAAATTGCTCCAAAGCCACAAATGCCAACAATGAAAAAGGTTGGAACAAATACTTAAAATCCTTTTGTAATAAAGAAGAGATAAGGATGGAGAAAGGATTTATTTTTAGAGATTTTCTCAAATTCTTATTGTAGCCATGGCTTTGACTTTCATATCTAACTCACCCTTGCATTAACTAGCCTAAGGAGATTTCCATAACCTTAAAACAAAAATTTTAAATGACACAAGAATTCATGGCTAAGCAAGAATAAAAACTCCAATGTGAAAAGAGAGGATGCAGAAGCAACAAAGTTTCCCATGAAGGTTTGTAGTTTAAGAGACTCCTGGACTGAGATCTCACCCCTTGAAAAGAGGCAAGAAGATGGAAACTCATTGTGCACCCTACGTGCAGCAGCTTTTCTGGACACCACAACTTCACGAAACTCTGTATCTGCGAACATCGCAAGAGGTGAACTCAGGAGTCATAACTAAGACCTTGTGCCTTCAAGGAGATGATTGTCATTTCCTCAAGTTTTTGAGGCAGAGGCTTTGAGCATTCTGCACTCTCTTTTCTTGTAGACACACATCATGGAAGTACGGATTCAAAATGTATTCAATAGAAAGGGAATTAGGAGTTACGTTTAGGAGTCTTCTTCCAAGTTATAATCCCTATGTCTTCCTAAGAAAATGCTTAGTTCAAATATCCATGAAAACAACATTTATGATGACAACAAAAGTGAAATAAATTTGATCACACAAGCTGCCTACCTTTAGAGACACTGGAAAATGAATGAGATAGAGGTCAACATAGTCCAGTTGAAGATTTTTCAGTGACCTTTCCAAGGCTGGTCGGACAAGATCTGGTCGATGGGAATTGCTAAAAAGCTGCAGAGGTGAGAGAAAGGAAGTTGTGTAATGAAAACTTGAGTCAATTTTACTGGTTTACGCCACCTAATATATAGACATTTTCTACTACTTCACAATGACCACAGGCAAAATTATTCTCTCTCTTCTTGTGATGCCTTTTGTTCTGCCATATCCTGATGAACTTTGTAATATGTTGGATATATAGTTAGTACATATATTGAAAGAAAGAGTAATATTACTCAAAAGATAAAAGTTGTTATCAAATCATAAGCATACCCATTATCAGAATTATCTTTCGTATGTTTTAAAACTCTTGTTAGTAGTGTAATTATTTCATCAATTCAGCCCAATGGGCAAGAATAAGTATCTTTGTGGCTTAGAAACCAAGGAGGCAAACACAGCTTTTAATATGTTAACTTGGGCTGGATGCAATTAAAAACAATGTAGGTATCATTGTGTTATACTCACAGAGCTCTCTTACATTGCCTTCTCTCTCTCTCTCTGATCAAGATGATAATGGAAACCCAGAATCCTAACAAATGTAAGATATTCACTCAGGAGGTAAGACATAACATAACATGATTAAGGTTATCTCTGATTCTATAGTCTTTGTTAAACCATATTGATCTGTGCTGACCTCAAAGAGTAAAGGGACTTTGAAGTCATGAGTTGGAAAACTGCGAAGATGAGAAAGCCATCTTCATTTCCTGCCTTTGATTTTATTTTTCATACATGAATAATTGTGAATAAATTGAAATGAATAAGCACAATTCACCCTCAACTATGGATCCAGTCATAGAATTGCCACCTCCATACAATCACCATAAATACATGTACACACAAGCTCATCATAGGCACGGTACCTTTGAAGTATAGAATATGTCTTCTCTCTTTACAGTGCCATCTGCAATCTTGCTTCGGATGGCCAGTCCAACGTACTCCTCATTATTGTAAGCATATGCACAATCAACATGGCGGAACCCAGCTTCTATTGCCCATTTGGTGGCCTCTAGAGCTTTATCTTTAGGAACCTGGGGGAGCAACCAAAGGTAGTATTTTCTGACTGATGTACCTGAGAGTGAGTTCAGGCACTAGAGCAACGTTTACAAAAATCACCTTTTCCTCCTTTCTTGGATGAGTTCTGTATATGGAATCATAAGTCCATCCCAGTCTCTCTGGGTCTTTCCTGGTTAGTAGTAAAGATTGGGCATAGCAGGAACTTCCGCAGTCCCAGAAAATCACTGCTTGACCACTAGCTTGGAAGTATCCCCCAAACAATTTTAGGTTCAGTGATTTTTTGGCAAAATTAACAGGCCGCAACCTATAGTTACAAATATAATCTTAATTATTTTTAGTATGGCGAAATTAACACGAGGAAATAGCCACATGGAAGGAATTATGAAGGAATGCAGTGTAAGCTCCTGTGATTCTTCTCCCACCATGTTGCTGCACAGAATGAACTGACTTTATCCAGCATCACATTTTGTCCATGTATGTGAACTGTTGTCTACAAGAGATGCTCTCTACATACTCCATTACTAAGATTTTGTCTGGGACTGCTTACATTGACTCACTCTGCCTAGAAGACACAAAACTCCCAGTCCCCAAAAGAAAGCAGGTGCACAGAAACTCCACAGTTTGCACAAACAGTTAAGTAGAGCCCCCATTCTTATCAGCTAGGAAATAGCGAGAAATCCACGTTATCCGATACCAGCAGCTTTATATTGGAAATAGGCCTGTCTATGGATAGCAGTCTATTATGTTAAGTCTTTTCTACCCAGACTTTGATCAGTCTGTCTGCATGACAGAACTAAATGCTAGGAGTAGAGATGTATACACTAAGGATATTGATTTGTATATATAAGAAATAGACTGCAGGGTGTAAGTGATTAGCAAAATGGGGTTCAGCTCCATAATTCAAGGCAAGTCTTTTAGAAAACATATGATTGCAGTGAAATTTACAATTATTGACTTACGTAACAAATGTGGATACAGATTTGAAAAGTATATCTTTTAAATGACAAAAGCAGAAACAAAGCCAACTATTTTCCCATCTTGAAAGTATTTCAGAGGCTTTCTTTTTCCCATGAAATTACAAGGAACTAGGTCTCCCAGCCCACTCCTCATACCATCCTCGACCATTTCTTTGCTGTGCGAGCACTCAAAGGCTCACCGAGGCCGGAGCTTCAGTGGTGTTCTCATCTTTACCTCCTCTCCGTGCCAACTTATATTAAAGTAAACCACTCCTGTCAATGGCCTTCAAAATGTCCCTTTGTAAATCCCTATATCTTATAGGTGAGAAATGTGAGACTCAAATTTTATGTAAGTGGTCCCTATTCACACACATTGTATTCCCACGACAGTCTTGAGATACTCGTTTTCCTCCAGTGTAGAAATAGCTAAGTCTAGAAAATAAAATCTATTCCATTAATTTTCTCGTCAGAGAAACAAGAAATTTCTCTGTTACAGTATTTTTATACAAATCTGACCCATATTAACAAAGACAAAGAATTTAAACTTCCCTTGTTAGGTTTTACTTTTTTTTTTCTTAAAATGAGGGTATTTTATCATTTCAGATAATTTTCCCAGAGTTGAGAGTAGCACATGGGAAATTCTCTTTAGTCCAGCTCTAATATTACAGTTTGGTGCACGAGGCCGCCCATCAGAACAGTGATACTCTCCCAACAGATTTCATGCAACCTGTCTCCACTAACTTTTGCCATAAAGATTCCTCTGAATTGTGTCTTCTTGGAAGAAGTAAATATCTGTTCAACTATACAAAGAAACAGAGAAACCACTCCCATTGCAATCAATCTTCAAGAGAGGGAGCAGGCAGGCCGTGTTCTTCCTGCTGAGTTTTATAGACTCTGACAAGCTGTGAAATAAGCATAAACAGAAGACAAAACAGTGCCCCAAATAAGCAGTAGATGACCCTGTGACAAGACTGCATTGCAGAACAAAGACTGTCGTTTTAAGGAGAGTCATGCAGAGTAACATAGGAACACAAACCTGACAATCCGGTCAGCTTCTACTTATTCTACCTTCCACTTATTCTAGCTCCTTTAAACTCTCAACACTAAAAATATTATTATTACCTCTTCAGGCGCATAGGTGCCAAATCCCAGGACTGGCATGAAGTGGCCATCATTCAGCTTCACACTCTGATATTTCGAATCCATTTCTGTCACTGGCCTGGTTGGCAAATGTTCCTTTCTTCCTCCCTCACAGGCTATAAGAGCAATTAGCTGGCAACGCCCCTGGACACACTGTCTGCTGGTTAACCAATGGCATGTGAGAGGAGGGACAGAGGCAGTCTTACATAAGCTATGATAAAAATTGAATCCAGTTCAACTGTTTCTTTTCTAAGAAAATTCATAAGTAAATTATCAGGTGGGCATGATACACTCATTAATTTTTCTCTGAAGTATTTTTCCTATTCCAAATCTCTATATATATGACACAAATTAGACAAAGACATTTGTAGAACAAATGGTGACTTTACATAAGACTATAGAAAAAGAGCTACAAAGCTCTTTTTGGTTTGTGCCTTGATGATGTTCCTTCTGTATCTTACAGCATTTGAAATGACTAGTTTTCATTTTTCTCTCTCACACACACACAATTTAAAGGAATGACTAATGAGCATTTCTTTAAAATATTGCCCTCAATTAAAAATTAAAGTTACAATTTTAAAATGCATTACTTTTTTCATGAGAAAATTTATTGTTTCTTTCTTATTAGCCTTATGAGAGAAATATCCCTTCCTGATCAAGGTGCAGTCCCGATAAACTTGTAATCCTGATGTGGGTGTAAATAAAAAATAAAATTCAATGTGGTTTTATTGGAGGATTTCTTATTAATAGCTTTTGGACTTTGGATATAATTTGTAACATGCAAACTGTGCCTTATCTTATTTGTCTTTTCCAGCCAGTTTTATGAGTTACTATCAAAAAGTAACAAGCCAAAAACCTGATAACTATTAGATATACTTTATAATATTGTTAAACACTATTCATAAAGAAAAACTGGTAACTAATGACATATAAACTGGTGAATAATCCTCACATGGGATACTTTTTACTTCATTGTCCCTTTGGAGGTCAGGTCAGAACATGAATGTAATTTGCATGATCTGTGATACACATCTTGGAAGAGTCACAACTTGCAGTGCCCTGATTGCTTCTATTGGCTTTTTCATAAAACAAACAGAAATTGAAACATAGGTAAATTGTTATACATTGACATAAATGTAACATTATAAAGATATTGAAATTTTTCACAGAGGGTAATTTCAACAAGATGGTGGATTATAAGACTCCCATATGACTCATGGAAACATCAGAAAGTATCTAAAATTGACTGAAATAAACTTATTTATTTATGGAGTAGCTCAGTAGCTCAGTAGAGATTCAGGGTGACTACACACATACAGATGTTACAGGCAAAAGACTAGGGGAAGAGACAGGCAATAGTCCATCTAAGCCATTGAGAGAAACTGGGATATGAAATTTTTTAATAGTAAGCGATTCAAAAGCCATTGGTTATTTGGGGAAAAATAAAATGGCAAAAATAATCCATGTAGGTGCGTGTTCAGAAACAAACTAAGAAGGCCTTGAGGTTTTATGTAGGGCTGATGCCTTGACTGAGAACCTGCCACACATATGAGTTGATGACTGTCATGAGAGAACAAATCTATATACAGTAAAAAAAGATGTTTTATTTTTTCAAATGCCCAGTTAAATAAAATAACAAGGCATACAGGCCGGGCATGGTGGCTCATGCCTGTAATCCCAGCACTTTGGGAGGACAAGGAGGGTAGATCACGAGGTCAGGAGAGGGAGACCATCCTGGCTAACATGATGGAACGCCATCTCTACTGAAATTAAAAAAAAAAAA